TTCCCGATAATGAGAATATTGTAACTTACAAAAGTAGGAAAATATACATAACTTGCGAGACTAGCAAAATATATGTAAACTCCGGGATATGAATTTTTCTTATGTCTCGTTATCAAACTCGTGTAATTACGAAATCATGCAAAATGAAGAAAGAGCTTAGCCTTAACATACCTGGAGTAGGAAAAAATTTCATATGTTATTCTTGAAAAAGGTTGCACCGTACTCCGTTAGAATTGCAAAAATTTTACGTTGCTCAGACTTTAATAATTCTCGTTGGATTTTTTGTAGGAATTGATTGCAAGGAAAATGGCTAATGTTTACTTCTAATTGTGAGGTCTTTGGTATTGAAAATATCAGGCATGAGGTTTAGGATTAATTGTAGTATGGTTTTGATTTTGAAAGATCCTTGGAATTGAAGTGATTTGGGTAACACTTCACGTTATTCAAGTATTTTGGTCACACATCCTTTTGCCACCTATCAAAAGTGACTAAAAGTCATCTCTTTATGAATTGTCCTGCTGCCACGTGGGGATAGGGTAGAAATTTAATCTTTATCCACTTATTAGTTAATTAGGTAATGTCCCGCTATCCGGTAATTAACCAATTACCCGTATTATTAAAAATTATCTCAATTTACTTAAAATACTACCCATTTATCACATACCTTAAATATCATACTATCATGGTCATGTGGTACCTTGTATAGCACTAGTTCATAAATATCGGGTATTATTGCTCGGCCCGTATTTTATTCCAACATGCCAAACTTGGACGAAATTCATTTTTCTTGACTTGCTTCCCCTCTCACCTTCATGAATTTACTCATCACTTGTTTGAAATAGCATAATCCTTATAATCTCCAAATAATCTTTACCTTGGATTGATGTCAATTACCTTACGACAAATTCAACGTACAATATTACAGGGTGCAACATCATCGTAATGTAATACTGCAGGACGAAATTTCGACGTAATATTGTGGGGCGTAACAATGCTGCCTGAGCTTGAACAAGTTCTATTCTGTCTTACTCTGCAATATCTGTAATATTGCTAAAGTATTTCCTGTTCAGATGCTTCAGCTTCTGCTTTAGCAGTTTCAATTTCCTTACAACCCTGAACATCTTACAATCATCTACTTGCTATTTCCAACCTTGCCTCACTATATGAAGGAATTTTAGATGAGTAGACCAGAAATTACAATACTTAAATGCTGCTTTAGGTCTTCTTGTTGCAGTTGTAGTTGACAACTTCACTGGGCAGTGGTCACTTATTTCTTCCGGAAAGTGTTGGCCCTTAAAATCAGGTATAAAGTTAAGCCATTCATCATTAGTAAACACCCAATCTATCTTAGATAATATTCTGTTATCTCCATGCCTATCACCCTAGGTGTACCTATTACCAGTAGTTCAAGAAGTCCACAAGCCTCCATATAGTTATGGAAGTCTATTATCTCCCTTATACTTATGGGATTACCTCCAACTCTGTCTTCAAATTTCAACACAAAATTAAAGTTTCACATAACCAATTAAGGCATACTAACACCCTTGTTAATACCTTCTAAATAAGTCCACAAGCTTCCTCTCTCTTTCTTTGTGTTAAATGCATACACAACAGTCGGGAGAAATGTTACTTGTAAACTAACATGTTTCACTTGGCATGTAATTGCCTGATCAGTTTTACTAACAGGGTACACTTGGACCAGTCAAGTCTCCATGTCAACCATACTCTCCCATTATAGTGGAGATCCAAATTTGTTATAAAATCCCACCTTCCAAATATACTACTTGCCAGTTGATCTATCTTGTTGGCTTTAATTTTTGTTTCCAAAAAGTCCTACCATACCAATATTTTCCATGTTACAAAGGAGCTTTACCTACTCCTAACATTCCAACACATGATAGTATCTATTACTTATGGGAGGGTTGATGAGACCACCCCCTTTCTTCACTGAAGTCTTTTCACTTGGAACAGATTGCCACACTTGATTACTTGTCCCTGCTTTTTCTAAAGGTTGGAAGGTATTCAGATTAACCACCCTGGTCTCTGGTTGCTTAGACTTTGCAGTTCTGATGCTGTTCATAGGAGTCACCCATCCTTCATTGTTTGGTCTACCAATTTGTATACCTTAAATCACATTTGTACCTTTTTCCACAGTATCCTTACTTGTGCTTGCATTAGAAACAATAGGTTGTTCCTTATCTTTTGTTCCATCTTCATTTTGCTTCTTAGGAACAGTTTGTTGAGCCATCTTTGCTCTACAAGACCGTTCATCATGTCCATACTTCTTACAATATTTGCTTGGTGTGGGTTTCCAGTCATATTGTACTTTCTGCTCCATTAATACCCCTTTCTCATTCTTAAAAACAACTTTATCAGGTAGCTTTGCATCCATTTTTCACTTCTATGAGTAATCTAGCAAAACTCAAGCCTATTTTCTGCTCTGTATGCTTATCTACCATTAGTGGCCTACCAATTAGACTACCAATTTTACTAAGCCCTTTATGACTCCAATATTTGAAATCTAGCCCTGGAAGCTTGACCCAGATTGGCACTGTGTATATAATTCCTCTCTAGTAAACTCTATGTTTGGATTCCATCCTTTGACTATAAATGACTTGTTGTCAAAATGGTAGATCCCCCCTTGTATCACCTCATTTTTTCCCTCTCTATTATCAAACCTAACTAGAAAAATACCATTTTTTAACATTGACACCTTGTTAATCCCATATTTACCCCACATCCTCTGGACATAGCCATTCAGAATAGAGAATGGAGGATGTGCGCCCAAAACATAACATATTACAACATTCTTCCAGTAATCTAACTCGGTAGTAATGTCTTTTGTCTTAATTTCACACACAAGTATTTCCTCATGCATTTCAGGTTCAATATAATCAAGTTTGAATCCAGCATTCGTTACCTTGTTGATGTCAAAGTTATCCCAAATTGATCCCTGAGCCTTTGCATCTAGCGTCTCCTCCACTTCATCTGCCCATGAGAGTTTCCTAGTACTCTTCACACTTTGTACATATCCCATACAATCCTGCTGATTCATCATAATTACTTTAGCCTTTGTCATCCCTGGTGACTAAATTTGACTTCCACTCATATCTATGGCTGAATGCTCATCAGAATTTTATCGGAGTTGAGTACCATTATCCTCTGCGCAGTTCCCGTAATTTTCATTGCTCATGTCTTAAATTGTGAATTTTCAGTTATCTTATTGATCATCCTTCTTCCTTTGTTGATTCCCTAATAAAGCAGCTGATTCCTTAGTCATGAGTGCCTTCTGAGAGGGATTCCGAGCTCTCTTCGCCATGGACGACGCATGTTATGTTAACATGCGCTGAGAGAAGACGGAGACCCAATTTTTAACAATCTTTTTAAATGATAAAAGGAAAGTTGTTTTGAATTTTCCTTTTCCAAATGCAATTCCGAGTCTTCTGAATTACTTACGTTATTATCACTGGTACTGAATCGGGTGCTTAACGATGTTTCTATTTTCAAAACATGTACTCAGTCACTTTTTAATACGATGAAATAAATGTCCAAAAAAGAGTACATTCAGTGATATTATACATCCGAATTGCAACCATTTTCCAGTAAGTATGTCAAGAGAGTTAAATTTTTCTTTGATTTTATTTTATATTTTAAGATTACTGATTGAGCTGTCAACAGTTTTTCTTTTAATGTATACATTTTTTACAAAAGCTGTGACCTAGAGTTCTTTTATAGCTTTTGGAATTTAAAAAAAAAAATCATGAAATAAAAAAAAGGATTATAGCACTTTTGGTCCCTTTATTACTATAAAATCTAATTTGGTCTATGTAATATTTGACTAAGCATATTTAACCTTCAATTGATTAAAAATATATATATTTTTAATACTCTTATATAGTAGGAAATATGTAATGCTTAAACTATTATTAGAACTATATTATCCTCAAATATGGAGTAACAATTAGGGTTGCTTATTGGGCGGATCGGGTGGATAATTATGCTTAACGGTTTGGCTTATAAATATAATAATCCGCTAGCCATCAGATAATACAACGGACGGATTGGTATCAGATTAATGATTATCATGCGATTATCGGACGGTTTATCGGTTAAACCAAATAGAAAATTTTTGAGCAATCCTAGTCTCGTGAATACCAAACGGCCAAACTGCATAATTCACTGGCTTTTATCATTTCAACTTACCATTCATAATCCTTAGTACATTACTCAATGAAGACTTGTTATGGAGTACACAGGACAACTACATAACGAAGATACGCATATTGTCATGCATAAGAAAGTACAACAACAACAACAACAATCCAGTATAATCCCACTTAGTGGGGTCTGGGGAGGGTAGTGTGTACGCAGACCTTACCCCTACCCTAGGGTAGAGAGACTGTTTCCAAAATAGAAACCCGGGCATCCTTCCCTTCAAGAACTTCCCACCTTGCTCTTGGGGAGACTCGAACTCACAACCTATCGGTTGGAAGTGGGGGTTGCTTACCATTAGAGCAACCCCTCTTGACCACAACCTGTCATGCATAAGAAAGTAAAAGTATAAATATAAAAATTCTTAATGGGTTAACAGTTTATCCGATAAGAAAATTGAGTAATCCACCCCAAACGGTTAAGTCGTTAATTATAAAATTTCAATCCATTCACCATTTATTACTCTGATAATCCGATACCAATAAACCAATAAGTTATCGGTTTGGTTCGGTTAACGTTTACGGTACGATTTTGAACAGCCCTAACAACAATACTTATTTAACCTAATGTAATAGTAGCTAATTCGTTAAAGTTGTGAAGATTCACAAGTAGATGAATAAAAATACATATTTCAATTATTTGAAGATTAAATAAATGTGCTTAGCCGGATGTTATAAAGACCACATTAGAATTAGTTAATATTTTAGGGACTAAAGTGCAAATTTCCCTTAAAATTGATGATAAATTTTCCTTAAATTTACAATTTACAAATATAAAAAATAGACCCTCCTATAACCACCCCTATCCGTTAAAATCCAACTCTTTTTGTTGGACAGTGAACACAATCTTCAAGTCCTCCTTATCAACAATGGCGTCTCTCATCTCCACTGCAATTCTCCCCCACATTTCTTCCTCATTCAAGGTACAATCTTTTTATCTCATTCTTTTAACAATTTTCCATTAAAATTTTCCATTTTTTTAATCCCATCAATTGTTTTCAGGGTAATTCAAGAAACTTGACGTCAAGTTCAAATCTTTTTCCTTCAATTAAACTCAGTAACCAGAAAACTACCCCAAGAACAAGAACCCCATTTCTTATTTTCAATAAAGTTGCAAGCTTTGATGTTTCTGTTGCTGATTCAGCAAATTCAGGGAGTGTTAGATTTAGGCTTAATAACTTGGGCCCACAACCAGGGGCAACAAAGAATAGGAAGAGAAAAGGTAGAGGGCATGCAGCTGGACAAGGAGGTAGTTGTGGTTTTGGGATGAGAGGTCAAAAATCAAGGTCTGGACCTGGTGTTAGAAAGGGTTTTGAAGGAGGTCAAATGCCGCTTTATAGGAGACTTCCTAAGTTGAGAGGAATTGCTGGAGGTAATTCGTTTTAACATTGCTTGTCAACATAATTATGTAATTTTAGTTTGTTTGGATTTGGTTAGAAAATATACATAACTTCTAATAATTTTTAGTTGTATTTGTATAATAATGGAATGAGGTGAGTTAAAATGGAGTAACGTGGTCTGTGAGGATTCATATAGCCGACCCCAACTTGTTCGGCATTGAGGCGTAGTTGATGTTTGTTTGGATTTACCTTTTCTGTATTGGTTGTTTGTTTATGTGTCCTTTTGCAGTGTTATAATGTTGCATAGAAGAGTTCATGGATGTGTGTATTTAGCTTGTGGAATTTGTAGCTTTAGTTTGATCATGTGCTTCAACATAATTATGTAATCTTTTTGTTTGTTTGGATTCATTTAGAAAATATACAGAACATCTAAGTAGTACTTTTTGTTTGTATTTGCATAATAATGGAATGAGGTGAGTTTAAATGGAGTAATGTTGTATGTGAGGATTTATATAGCCGACCCCAACTTATTTTGGGACTGAAGCGTAATTGTTGTTTCTTTGGATTTACATTTTTCCTGTGTTTGTTGTTTGTTTCTGTGTACTTCTGCATTGTTATAATTTTGCAGTGATAAGTTTGTGGATAAGTTGCATTTAGCTTGTTGTTGAATTTATAGCTTTAGCTTGGCTATGTGCTTCTTTCTTTACAAACATTTTATAAACAGTTATGTGTCACTACAGTGTCAAATTTGCATAGGATGGTAAAAACTATTATCAGATTAGGGTGACTTGCCATTACTAAGGGATTTTCAAAATATACTGATGATTAGTACAAAGAAACTTATTCACAATGATTACATACTGCACTAGGAAAAAGAGCAACCCACAATTAGGTGATGTCAAGACAGAATTTCTTGAAATCTGCCTTTCTCATTTGCTATATTCTGAATTCCTCGTCCTTTTTGTCTTCCGCAAAAAATTTATGACCATTATCACCTTACTAAAACTCAAAAGGAAAGCCTGCCAACCAGCTGAAAGCTCTGCAGAAAAGTTTCTTATTGCTGAATTGATAGCATTCTAAGAACTCTTACTCAAACAACGGCTTCTTTTGCTATACTAAACAGAATCAATTGATATAGAACATGTCCCTTCTTGACCTTCCCATAACTGGGAACTTATCTATAAAAAATATTACAAAGTTCATACTAAGGTGGTAAGGAGGAATCCGGATCAAAGGGTTTCACTTTCTTTGATTTGAACTGAATCTGAGAGCCTTGACCTTCTAGTCTCAGTGTAGGTACCACTTGAGTAATCTTCACTTCCCTTAGCTATAAGGTTCGATTGCAAGAAGCATGAACCAGGTCCAGGATTTGGACTATGAAATGCTGCTATTTTATCTGATGCAGTTAACATTTTTTTCTCTGAAAAATAAATTATTGCTCATAGAAAGTGATGAAGGAAGAGGGGGGGGGATTATAAATCATTCTTTGGCCAAAATTTTCTCTTGTCACAAGACATGCTAAAGCAAGTCCATTTCTACTAAACGTAGGTTTTGCAACTAAAACTAAGTTGGTGCTCTATAATATGTTGGCATTTAGAAGATAATCTCTATAGCTCTCAACCTACTTTGATGGCCTTGTATATGGTGGTTTGCTGGATATGAGATCCTCGGAGTACATTGGACCAAGGTATTTTGGTCAATATGTCAAGTTGCTGGGTATGACTGTGTGGCTTTATAACTGGCTTTCACTTCAACACATAACTTATACATTTTTGCGTTATGTTTGGCTGAGGTATAATTATCATGCTTAGAGTTGCATGATAAAGAAAACGTTTCTAATTTTCTTATTCTTTTTTAACTTATTAGACCTTGAAATGTCTAATTTCTCATATCATTGACTTCTTTAGTGATTTAACTTACTAACTGAAGTAACTAATAGTGCTCTCTACAAAACCTCCAATCTCGTCTTTTATTTGTTTCATGAGGTGATTAATTCATTTAGTTAAGGATGTCTCGTCGAGTTACGCTCTTCTGTCAAAATCAATAATCAGCACTAGATATTTGCAACCTTTGCCTCCCGTTTCTCTTTTGTATGATAAGCCAACTAAAGTAAACATCACAATGATATTAGAATATTAACAATGTCGAATCTTAAGTTAATCCACTTCATGGACATCTCTAATCTCTAGAGTCATTTTCTTTCTATATCTCTTTAAGACATTATTTTGTAACTAGTACATGACATAAGTGGGAAGAGTAAGGGGAATGGGAAGTCAATAATTACTTTATCTAGGAACTTCTCCCTTCAATGTCATTGGTATTTAGAGGGCACTTCCTCCTTTTAATCCTATTACCGTCAAACCTCTTTATAATAGCCTCGTTTGTTCCAGATATTATTGGATGTTATAGCGAATTGCTACTATAGAAAGCATATATTATAACAGAACATGAAATTTGGTTCCGAAAAAACTTGGCTTTTATAGTGAAGTATTGTTATATAAGGATGATGTTATAGAGAGGTCTGACTGTACAGGTCTTTAAAAGAGTTAAAGTAGAGGGGCGCAAACCTTATTGGTTATTATCTTATTTCACAAGATTGATATGCCCTACTAGTATTACACCGACTAAATAGATTCACAGAATTTTCTGGTTCTCCTTTAATGAAAACTTGTAATTTTTTGGGTACCTTCTTGGTATTCCTTTAACAAAACCTTTACCTTATTAAAAAAAAGAATTCGCAGAAATTTCTGAAGGTACATTATGTCATATAAGCAGAAAGAGCTCTTAAGTTAGCTTCATTCATGGTTCTAGAGCTGGAGCATTTAGCTTGCTGATTAGTCAGTTTCTCATTAGCCTTTTCAATCACTTTTAGCCCAAAACTATGCAAGCTTTTACTTGCCATTTGCTGTAATGGTGGATTCAGTACAAGACTTCTAGTACTGACGAGCTCCATAGACTTCTGTTGCTAGTGATATTTTTCCACTCAGGGATGACATCCCTTTGGTACCTTTTTAAAACTATTTTTTGCTGCTTAGATATTAGAAAAGGTTTTGGTAAGAAGTATGAACTTGAGAGCTTGTCCACCTATCCGATGAAAACAAAAAGTTCTTATTCTGCTGTCACTGGTGATACTTTGATAAAGAGTTCTTCCCCTGTTTCACATTTCAGTTGATCGTGCTAACATATGCATGTTTGTAAGCATATTGAGTTCGTTATATCTGAGATCATTGGTTTACGCTGTGTAGAGCGTCAGATTTATGGAGTATAGTGTTGTCTGGTTATGTATGTGTAAATCATGCCAAAAACCGGCTAACGTGTGCATTTGAATTTTGTAAAGGCATGTCTGCTGGACTTCCGAAATATGTACCGGTGAACTTGAAAGACATAGAAGAGGCAGGATTTCAAGAAGGGGAAGAGGTGTCGCTTGAGTCCCTCAAGCAGAAGGGTCTAATAAATCCTTCAGGGAGAGAAAGAAGACTTCCACTAAAGGTACACAATAACATTTACTTTTGTCGCATGTTGGTTCCCCGTATTTTGTTCAGTGCATTCTGCTTTGCCTGTATCTTCACCTTAGTACTGCAACAACAACAACAACAACAAACCCAATGTAATCCCATAAGTGGGGTCTGGAGAGGGTAGTATTTACTCAGACCCTACCCCTACCTTATCAAGGTAGAGAGGCTGTTTCCTATTGATCCTCGGCTCTGTCTTCACCTTAGTGCTAGCAACTATAAAGTAGGAACGTAACATCTTCTTCTGTGCAATCTAATTATATAATATTGTGTTCCTCGCTTCCCCTATCTTCATAATTCTCTGTGTAGTTTCTGCACGTCTAATGACATTATAGTGCCATCTGTATTAACTTAAGAGTAATGTCTCCGACGTATCTCCATTTTCAGATCTTAGGTGATGGTGAACTAAGCGTGAAGCTCAACTTTAAGGCGCGCGCCTTTTCAACATCAGCAAAGGAAAAACTAGAGGCTGCTGGTTGTTCATTGACCGTTCTACCGGGCAGAAAGAAGTGGGTAAAACCATCAGTTGCTAAAAACCTTGCTAGAGCTGATGAATATTTTGCCAAGAAAAGAGCTGCTGCTGCATCTGAAGCAGCTGACCCTTCTTCTGCTTAAGCCAAAATTTATGATAGCCACAAAATTCTTTTTATGTTGTCACTCCAGAAAGGATGTAAAGCAACATTCAAATAGTTTTGGATTCTTTTCCCTTTAATGCTTCCAAAGTATATTTCTATTTTTCTGTGTGTCTTCCCTGTACCAGTAGGATTAGTAGTTAGCCTTGTATTCTATTATTGGTAAATTTATTACGTGTTGTTCATTACGCTTGTTTCTTAATATCTTGTTGTTGTTACTGCTGGTTGCTACTCCTTTCTCTTCATCTTTTCTTAAGCCGGGGTTTGAAAACAACCTCTTTACCTTCAAGGTAGGTGTAAGGTCTGCGTACACACTACCCTCCGCAGACCTCACTTGTGGGAATATACTAGGTTTGGTGTTGTTGTTTTCTTTTATTCCGGTACACGCACCCAAATGTGTGGCCTAGTAGTCAATGAAGTGATTGTGCACCTTAGAGACCAGGGTTTAAATCACGACATCGACACAAAATTACTACTCTCTCCGTTTCAAATTAGATGAGATACTTTCCTTTTTAGTCTGTTCCTAAATGACACATTTGTAAATTTGGAAATAATACAACTTTAAACTCTTTATTTTACTCATTTTACCCTTAATGAAAAGCTTTTATAATCATACAAGTGTCATGGTTCCGCAAAGCTTTTACCCCTTAAGCTTTTAAGACCACAAATTTCAAAAGTCTTCTTCTTTTTTCTTAAACTCCGTGCCGAGTGAAACTACCTCATCTAAATTGAAATTGAGGGAGTAGGTAATTTCTTCGTGTATGTTTAAGTCTTAGCGGACAAAGTTACTCGATACATATACTGGTGGAGATAGTAGGTATTTGATGATAGTCGAGATGCGCGCAAGCGAGATCGAATGTCGCTATTATAAAAAAATAATTTTGTTTTATTCAACGTCGACATGGTCCAAATGGTAGGTATTGGTGAAAATGCAACTTTTCAAACTTTTAAGAATACAATAATTCAACAGTGTTCAAAATAGAATTAGTCTTCTGACTATTGCTGTCATAACTTCCATTTTCCAATTGTTAAAAAATATTATCTTTGATTAGATGCAATGCACATGCCTTAATTTTAGTTTTACTTTGGTTACCAATTGATGTAACGCCTCTAATTTGGAAAATGATCGTTCTTAAATGAGAAAGGACAAATAAATTATCATTTCTTCTTTTATCTTTCTATTATCAATAGGTTCTTGATACAGACCTAAATACCATCTATGGACAAAAAACTAATTAGTTCATGCATCCAGAGGAAATAACAGAACCCCAAGAACACAATTCAAGGTGATGTCAATTGAAAAACTATTGATACATAATTTACTATATATATTTTTTTTTAACGTCACCTTGAAAAACTCGCACAATTTACTGGACGATTTTCAAAAAGTCTTTCTAAATTAGAAGAGCAAGAAATGAAACCAAAAAAAAAATACTTTTTCTTTATAAATATACGTCATTTTTAAAATTCTCATTCTAACTCATCTTTTCGGGTAGATTTACGTCCCCACCATTCTTTATGGGCAAAGGCGCCCATAACTAAGATAATCTTTTTTAAACGGAGGAATTATGTGTTATCTTACGCTAGTACTGCCAACTAAAGTAGTAGTTTTACATAGATAAACCATTGAGTCCAATGACAAATTTTAAAGTAATGATCTCAAATGGCCCCAGGTTTTAGCTTTGAATAAATAAAGATGGATTTTAGAGAGATTTTACATGATTCTTAAGAGATAAATTGTTTTTGAAGCAACAAGATGAACTTACGTCATGTCATTTGATTACCCCCAGTGGAAAACAAAAGGAAATGATAATGTGTTTTAGTTTTAATTATTTTGGGTTTTCTCTTTATCCTACACTTGAAGAAAGTTAGTTAGATCATCAAGAGAGTGAGGTACGTAAGCACTTCTATACTATGTCCATATTTTGTAAATTTAGAGGGTCGTGTGAAATATTTAAGAGGCCCTCACTGTGTATATAAATATATATATATATATATAATCTTTTTGTTGAGGCTAATTGATTCCGATGACTCTTCTCCCCCAACGTAGTTCCGCCCCTATTTGATTTATGTGCTCTTAACTAGAGGTCTTGGGTTCAAGCCCATAAAACGGAAAAGATTCAGATAGAAAGCGCTTCTCTTTTTAATAAGCATTACGCAGTGAAAATTCAGATTAGTCAAGACCCCAATACGAATACCGAATACTTCATGGGAAACCAAACAAAATGCCCACCAAACTTTTTGAGGGTCATAATTTTGTAGTGGCCAAACTTTGATAGCCTCATCTAACTTCATAAAGAATAGGAATGGGAAATTGCACAACTAAGCATACCTTTTTGGAACCCTACAAGAAGGAAAATAAGGGAGCCAAACTTGTTGTTTGACTTGTTATAGAAAAAATTAAGCATGACTCAAAGGCAAAGACATGTGATAATTAATTACTATGATGTGTCTTTTTCCTTCACCTAATCAAACCAGCAGAGAGCCAAGCAAGAAGGCTCCTTTTATCATCAAACTCACTTTATTTAATCATTGGAATTTTCTTTTTGTCGAGAGTCTTAATTGCTTTTCATTTTAGAAAATAATGCTTGAATGGTTGCACATTTTAATATAATAATATTACAATATATGTTATATTATTTGATATTGAAAGATAACATATTTTTTATTAAAAAAAAATAATTTAAATAGCTGTCCACCCAACCACTTACATAAAATATAACAGGCAAATGTATAGTATATATATAATATGAAAATAATCAGTATATAATTTATATATAACGATTATAAAAAATAAGTTAGTGAATCTGGCTGACTATTTATGTTAAAAAGATTTTACATTGTAGCTTAAAAAATGACTTGTTGAATAAATTTAAGTTCTTGAGACATGTGAGATTGTATAATAAAATATTATCAATAGAATTTTTGTTAACCTCCCAAAATTTACAAATTTCATAAAATATTAGGACGGTGGTAGTATTATTTGTCTTTTTACTGAATGAGGAACGTCCTTTCATTTAGGCGGTATTTACGGCCCCTTATCCCATGGTGGGATCCAACAAAGAAAAAAGAAGGATTGAAGAGTTTTCGGAAAGTGACGTGAATTTGGAAAATTTGGAGAATTTTCAAAGAAAGTAAAATCGCAATTTGATGCAAAAGATTTAGTCTGGGAAAATTTACATGATGTTAGTGAAACAGTAAATATTTATTTGGACTCGATTTTTATTTCAAATTAATCAATTTAATTTAGCTTTTAAATAGTCAAACTTCTCTATAAAAGGCTCGTTTGTTCCGATATTTTTTAACTGTTATAATGAGGTGTTGTTATAAAGAACATATATTATAACATAATATAAAAATCGATTTCGAAAAAACTTGGCTTTTAGAGTCAGTGGCGGAGGCAGGATCTCCACGAAGGGGGTTCAAAAAAAAGCTAAAAAAATTGTAGCTAGTGAGAATTGATCTTATGACCTTAGGAAAGTTTTGAACCCCCTTGACCACAAAGCTACAACTTTGGGTTGTGTTAAAGGGGTTCAAAACTTAATATCTAGAGGTAAAAACTGATTTTGCCTTATATACATAATGTAATTTTCGGCGAAGGGGGTTCGGGTGAACCCCCTTCCGCGCCCCTAAATCCGTCCCTATTTATAGTGAATGTTTGTTATATAGAGATGATGTTATATAGAGGTTTGATCGTAAGTATATATCTTATTTAACTAATATACACGTGGGTATGAAGTCTTTTACTTACTACACTGAATGTTTATGCAAAACTAATAAATACACATCATATATTTGTATATATATACTTCTAGCACTTAATCATAATTAATTAATATGCATTTTTTACTTTAGTAAATTACTTAACTATAGTAAATTAGCATGGTTTAGTGCTAATATCCGATGTGGATAAGTATTTACAGTACATGAAACTGTCATGGCTCCTTTATATGAGTGAGTTACTTATTTCTTGATTCCAAATAGTTCTCTAATCCAAACACCAATTGAGAATTGGTGAAAACGAAATTTTGATATCTTTGAAAAGTATTTTTCAAAGATGTTCTGATCATCTCACTTACGTTTTCTTTAGTCAAAGCTTAAGACTAAAACTTTAGTTTATCATAATTTTAGTGGGGTTAAGTGACATAATAGGACAAATTTAATTATATTTCTCATTTTAATTTTGTTGGCATTAAGTGTGACATGGTTTACCAGTTGAGCAAATTGTAAATGTCCTAATAATTCCTGTCTTCTTTAGCTTGACAGTTCAAAAGCTAAACCATAACGTTGAGATTCAATACGGAAGAAAGTTCCAACGAAATATGAATATGACTTGAATCCTAAACCTTATCAATAAGTCAAATTTGCTTATCCACGAGCTTAAGAGTTGTAAATATAAATTTTAGAAATTAAAATAGTAATATATTCGATTTAAGGTTTATATCACACCAATGTAAAAATAACAACAACAATAACTTTAGTGTAATCTCGCAAGTGATCATATGGAGAGAGTACGTAGTGTGTACACAGATCTTAGCCCTACCTTGTGAAAGTAAAGAGGTTGTTCCGATAGACCATTGGCTCAAGAAAGATGAAAAAGGAAGCAGTAACAACAAGCAGTCAACAACAAGATAAGATGATTAAGAAACTGAGGCGAAAGAAACAACATGTAGTAATAATGATCTAAGTATAAGAAAATACGAGAATAATACTAAGGCCTCATTTGTTTTTTTTTTTAAGATTAAGGCGTCTGAATCTGAATACACATCTGAATATCAAGATATGTATTAAGATTAAGACATCTGAATCTAAATACGCATCTGAATATTAAGAGGTGTATTAAGTTCTGAATATTAAATGATTAAGACTGTTTGATTTTAACATCTGAAAGTATAAAATTTATCTTTATTTAAAAATTTAAAAAACATAAAATTCAAATGAAATACTAATTAATATAATATTCTATCAATAAAATATATAGATTTTTAAAATATGATAGTTGTTGGTGGTGATGGCTAACGGGTGAATGCCGATTAGAGATGGAGGTTGGTAGTAGTTTTGGTTGATGATGGTGGTTCGGAATAGTAGCTAGTGGTGATTGGTAGTAGTGACGATTATGATTGAGGATGGTGGTGCTGGGTGGTGATAGTTAATAACAGCGGGTGGTGGTGGTAGTTGTGATTGAGGA